TTATTGAGCATCTACTATATTCCAGTCCCAGCTTTAGGTTTTAGGTGCTGGGGATATAGCAGTAAACGAAACAGGAAAAACACCTACCCTCATAGTGTTTATAGGCGCGCGCGCGTGTGTGTGTGTGTGTGTAGGGGAGGAGAATAAATTAATGAGCCAATGAACAAATAAAATATATAGTATATAAAATGATGATGACTGCTCTACACACACAAAAAGCAAGGAGGTGGGGGGACAGGAACCGGTAGGCTTAGGGAAACCCTCACTGAGAGGGTGATGTTGGAGCAAAGACTTGAAGGAGGCAATATATTTGTGGGCAAAGGGAAAGTTCTAGATACTTCCAGGCAGAGGGAATTGCAAGTAAAAGCCCCTGAGGTGGGCATTTGCTTGGCATGTTGTAGAAAGAGCAAGGAGACCCAGGGGCTGGAGCCAGAGAATAGAGAGTTTTAGGAGATGAGGAGATTGGAGGGTTTGGGGAAGGCAGTTCCTGCGAGGCCTTGTGGGCCACGTGAGGACCTTGGCATTTACCCCGCATGAGACTTTGAAGGGACTTGAGGAGAGGAGGGACACGACTGACCATGGTGTCAAAGGCTCCCTCTGATGCTGTGTTGTAGACTAGACTGGCCAGGGCGAGGGTGGCGACAGAGTCCAGTTCAGAGGTGAGTGCAGTCCTCCAGGGCAGAGATGATGGTGGCTTGGCCCAGGGTGGTGACAGTGGAGATGATGAGAAGTGGCTGGCTCCTTACTGTATGTGGAAAGTAGTGGTAACAGGATCTGCTGGCAGATTACACATGCCGTGCAAAAGAAAGAGAAGTCCGAGGCCCGTGCCACTGGGAGGACAGGGCTGTCATTTACTGAGGGGGAGAAGGGATTTGGGGAAGATGGGGTGGAAGATGTCCTGTTTGGGACATAGTGAGCTTGAGAAGCCCAGGGGACACCCAAGTGAGTGGGCGGCTGGCTGGATGCTTCTGGAGCTCAGGGGGAAGCCCAGAGTGGCTGGGTGGTACCCTGTGCTCTCCGGAGTTAGCTCACAGACTCGGTCCTGTAGCTGTTCATCAAGAAATACAAAGGAAATGGGCGATTAGCGTCCAGTGCTAAGTATTGACTTGGGGTTGCTAACCCCACCCTCAGCCCCCAGAGCAGCTGGGGCTGGCTGAGAGGCAGTTTCTGAAAGGCCCTGTCAGTTGGGCCAACATCAATTATGCCAAGACCCTCTTTTTGGGGGACCAAAGGTGGGGTGTTGGTCATTGACGGTGTGGCTTTAATAACCAAATCAACTTGGCTCAAAGGCCGCGTCTGCCACTAAAGAGGGTCTGGTCTATTCAGCTGTAGCTGAGCAAACCCGGAGTTCAAAGGAGGCTCAGCGACTGGGCCTTCGGGGACTTTTGCGTTACTCAGGGGCCATGGGTGGGCACTGAGCAGTTTCCACATTCTGCTGAAGCAAAGCAGAAAGCAAAAAGGCAAGGTGGCGGTTGACTCAGGGATCCAGGACCTGTCAACCTGTGGAGAGGAAGAGGCGGAAGAGGAAGGCCCGGCTTCAGAGCCAATGCCTGTGCGCGAGCTGAGGCTGCTGTCTTGCATTTTGTTTCCTCTCAGGCTCCCGTCCCCAGAAAGCGTTTGTCTCTAGGCAGCCTGGGATTCTGAGGTGCCAGATCTTTATGGAAATGAGCGGAGAAAGAAGAAACAACAAGCATTTTACAGGAAAAGCTGTCACCAAGGGAGAAGCAACGTGGCTGCTGTAGTCCCCCCCCCCCACAAGAGTTAATCACCAAAAAACTGGAGAACAAAAGCAAAAGCATTTGCGACTACAACATATTATCATACTGGAAAATCACATTGTTGGAATGAGAAAAAGAAAAAACATCAGCCTTTAAAGGAAAAATAGTAGAAGATTTCGATTGTGTGCTTGCATATTTTTCTCCCTTCTCAGACTGGTTTTGTGATTCCTTCACGGGTTACGTGACATGTCTGCCACTCACCAGTCTAGACATCTCACCAATCTTAGATTCACACAATATGGGCTCGTTCTGCCTTTCGAACCAAAATGCCACCCCACTGGGGAAACCTTTGTTACCACCGCAAGAAAATTCAAGGCATGCCTATTTCTTGAAATGTACCTTGCAAGCCCAAGAGGAAAAGCATGCATTAGGTATACAGAGAAAAAGACTGTTTTAGTCTCTTTGATCGGATATCAGTAAACACACAGCGTTCCTTCCCATGGAAAGAGATGAAACCGAGGAGAAAGCATAAAATGATGAATGATAACAACTGTATCCAGCTTCAATCTGCTTGAGAAACAGGTTTAAGACACAAAAGGAACACAGTGGGCTGCAATAATGTCCCTCTTGGGAAGAAGAAAGAAGGAAATTGCTTCTGATGTGAAAGCATTACTATTTTAGGTGACAGGCATATCCATGGGTAAATCTGTTATCCGCACATGCTTCCACACAGATGAACCTCAAAGACATATGCTAAGCGAGAGACAAAAGACCATATGTTGTATGGCTGCATTTAAATGAAATGTCCAGAATTGGCAAATCTATAGAGACAGAGAGTAGATTTATGGTTGCCAGAGGCTGGGAGAGTGGGGAGTGAGTGCTTAATGTTGGGGGGTAATGAAAATGCTCTAAAAATACATTGTGTGCTCCACAAATCTGTAAATATACTACAAACTATTGAATTATACACTTTAAATGGGTGAATTTAATGGTATGTAAATTACACCTCAATAAAGCTGCTTTTAACAAAAAATCTGCAATCCCTGCTGGTTGAGGCAGCTGCAGAGGGGGCACGTTCACCTGTAAGGTAAGGCTGGATGACTTTTGTTTGTTTGTTTTTATAGAATAAAAATGATTAAATAATGGACTAATATATTTTAATAAGATGGGTATTTTTAAAATCATTATTGGCATTGAATCCAAAATGTGTAGTGGAAGATAAATAGTAGCCTGGCTCGTTTATAAGACCTAGGGAGAGCTTTGCCATGATGATGTGTGCTCTCCCAAATGAACCTTCACCCAACGCATAAGTGAAGTCAATCCATTTACCTTATGTCACCGTAATGAGGAGCCACTGCCACCGAAGAACAGAAACAGCGAAGAGTGAATTAGACAGAGAACCTTTGTCTTCAGGTTCCCAGCTGTGCAATGGAATGCATCTTTCCCATGCATGTTGGCCATATGTCATCCATCTTAGTCGGTGCAGAAATCGCATCCTGTATTTTCTCCTCTGTCTCCTGGAGCACCCCTCTGGCTCAGGGTAAAGCACACAGTAGGTCACCAAGCCACACTGGCCATTTTTGGCTGGCTGGTTTCCTTCTAAGCAGTGCAAGGGCAGAGGGCCCGGGTTAGGTGGATAAGAGAATTTCAGCTCCCCAAGCCTTCCCAGCCGACCACATTCCATGCTACCTGAACAGATGATACTCTCTGCTCTTCGTGGACATTTCTGGAGCTCCCCAGCCATGCAGAAAGATTGGTAAGCTATAGCACAGGAAAGAGTGCTGTCCTCCGTGCCTCCTGACAGCCTGTCTTTTATTACTGATATCCACTAAATGGGCAGGTCTTATTTAAAACTGCTTTTTTTTTGTAGGACTTCTCATTTGGGGGTCACAGAGCAAGGTTGTTAGACTCAGCACTTTGAAAGCAACAAGGATCTGCCTGGCATATTCAATTCTTACACAATGTTTGCCCCGGAGCAGATACTCAGGGATGAGCTCTTGAATGAACGGACAAAGGAATGAATAAATGAATCTCCATGCCAATCACAAAGAAATCTGAGGTGGAACACAGTGGATATCTGAGATCCAGGGGTATTTGGATCTAAGCCTCGGAAGACTCTGCTTAGATTTTCTCGCCTAGGAAAGAGTGAGGAGTATAAAAGAAAAACAAAACACCAAAAGCATCTTAAAGTATTAAGAGTTACTGGGGCAAGTTGCTGACTATTACAAGGGGAAAAAAATAACAATGAACAATTGGTCTAAATGATCCCTACTTAGAAATTTATCTTGGGGTTTGCAAAATGACCTTGGGATTATATTTTCGCAAGTCTTTCCAAATACTTTACCAATAAAATGTAGCGAGAGGGTAGAAAGGAGAATGATTGAAACCAAAGATTCTAACTCTACCTGTGAGTTTCGTTGTCTACCAGTCCTGTCTACCCGCCCTCCTCATTTATTGCCTGTAACCCAAGTGCACAACGACCACAAAGAAGACATTCAACCAATTTCCAATGTCTGAATGAACCAGAGAAGAAATTATGAATTGATGACTTAAGAATTGAGAGAGCCATGAAAGAATGTTATTTCAAAGATTGAGAGAAAATTGAAAAGTTGAATTGGATGACATTTTAGAGATTTGTCGTTAATTTTTCCTTATTTAATCATATCATTTCTGTAGGGCCGTATTTAGACTTTTTTAAATGATTGAGTGTATTGCGTCTTGGGGGCTTCCTGACTCTCAGTTGGATTATGTTTTTTATTAGATTTCAGTGGTACTCGGCGTGTTACATTAATCCATATTTAAACTAGGGTGACCTCACGTCCCGATTTGCCCTGGAGAGTCCTGATTTACACCTGTTGTCCCAGCAGAATTATTAATAGCATCCTCCTCCACCCCCAACAGTATCTGGGTTTGGAAGACTAAATTCTATGATCGCTCTAACTTTGACTCCTAAAAATTTTCAAGAATATGCCGTATTTTCTCATTAATTATTGCAATTTATAGCTATTTTATACAATTTCTGAGAGCCTTCTTTCTTTCTGTCGGATTTTAAGCATCCTTTGAACTTTAGAAGGCTCCTCACAAAACTGGAAAGCCAGTGGCAAGACAAAGAGGACTACATCCGCAGAAAGCAAAACTGTTGTTCATTAATAACACAGGTTAATTAATTAACATGTGTTGCTACTAATATTATTATTCAGGTTAAATTCCTATTTATCAACTATATCATTCATTAAATTATATTAAGTATGTAATGAATGCTAGTGGTTGAATAGCACATACCTTCATAGCCAAAGAGAAGTAGTAACAAGAAGCCTTCTATCTTGTGTGGCATTTTCCCCTCGTCCTTGGCCACGGCCCTACCTTACTGAAGTGGAGAGCTCGCCCGGGAACAGGGGATTAACTTGAGCACTGGCCGCATTAAGCATCTTATTCCATTTAGTTCTTATGTCTTCAGCTGAGCCCCATCAAGTTAACCCACACAGCTACCTGCCGCAACAAGGAAGCCTCACAGAAGATACTAGCATCAACTGAGGTTGGTTTAGCAAGAAAGATATTGGTTTCATTTAAATGTAACCAGGGAAGCAATGGAGGGAAATAGGAACTAGAATCAGAAGATTCAGGTCTTAATCCTTTCTCTGCCATCATCTTCTAGGGGGTGACATTGAGCAATTTCCTGCCAGATGAGCACTAACATTCTCCAGTTGTATGAAAATGCCATGTATTCCCTTCTTAGAAAGCAACTTGGCCTCATGTTCATATCTAGTCATTCAGGAAAATACTAAATGTTGGGGGTGGGGGGTGCGGGGCAATCACACACAAAGATCTGTGTTGTTGTGTTGCTTATAATAGCCCCAAACTGGAAACAATATAAATGGGCAAGATTAGGGGGCTGGTTAAGTAAATCAGGAGAGGCAGTGCAGCCCAGTAGAGCTAGGAGCATAGATTCCCAAGCTAGACTGGGTATAAATCCCAGCTAACACTTGTTACATTGTGACCTCCAGGCAAGTGATCAACCTCTCTGTGCCTCAATTTTATCATCTGCATTATGATGATAATGCCTACTTCATAGAGTTATTTTGAGGCTTAAATAGGGTGATATATATAAAATATTTAGAACGGTGCTTGACAAAATTAGCTATTAATTTCACATACGAAGTAAGAATAAAGTTGATGGGAGGAAAAGGGGGGTTGTTGAATAGGTATAGAATTTCAGTTTTGCAAGATGAAGAAGTTCTGGAGATCTGTTTCACAACAATGTGAATCTACTTCACACTAGCGAACTGTACACTTAAAAATGGTTAAGGTGGTTAAAAACAATAAAGTTGATGAAGTGATCGTAAAAGCCATGTGTTATACTCTTGAGTTAGAAAAAGATGCAAATTTATACACTGCAAAAGATGCAAAACTGTGTTGAACAATGCAGAGTAAAATACCAAGTTTCCCCTTCTCCTTTCAGTTCTTTGCCACCCCCCATCCCCTGCCCACACCCTCAGCCCCCAGGACCCCAAAGGCCAACATTAAAGAAAACAAGAAACCCTCCCAAACGAAAGTGTGATGAAATAGTAAAGAGAAACAAAAAGGAACTGGAGACACGTTTGGTCATTCAACCAGCATTTATTGGGTGTCTACAAGCTTGACATTTATTCTGTATGTGTATGAATTCTTCACTTAGAACAGATGAATGTCTATTCCACAAACTCCACTGCTGCCTGAAAAAGGATTGTTTTTTGGTTTTTATTTCCTGCTCTATATTTTAGAGTTTAATGAAAAATTAAACTTTTAATCATACTCATAATGATAATAAACCTTTAATAATTCAACTGCATTCCAAGCGCTGCTATATTGCCACATTGTATTCGGAGGCTTGGGGGGCCGGCCTGTCCCGGCTTGCAGGGCGCCCGATTTTTCGAGGCCGCCCTGGAGTAGCGGGAGGAGAGGTGGGGCAGGGTCCAGCGGGCCTGGGGAGTCCTTGAGACCAGGACTCTGTCGAGAACCCCCCTCCGCTATTTCTCAGGTCGGACGATGGCGGCCTTGACCTTGTAGGATAGGAGAGGGCATCTGTCATTTCGCTTCTGCGATAAAAAACACTCCAAAAACATTATTTTAAGAGATATTAAATATCATCACCTCACCGTGCTTCCAGTAAGGCTTGAACCCAGCACCTTCTGCGTGTAAAGCAGATGCAATAACCACTACGCCACGGAGCCACCACGTGGGGCGTTGCCATGGTTACATTTTTCATTGTGATGCGTCAGTCCGGACGTCTCCGCCGAAACCCCACCCCTCCGCCGTGGCCCTCCCCAGCCACAGAGGCCAGGAGATCGTGGCCCCGGCTGCCCGCCCGGTCTTCCCATCAGACTCAGGGCAGCTGTAACAAGAACAAGGTAAGTGCCTGGGTCACCCTCGGGGCCGAGAGTGCCTTCCCCCCAAACCTGTCCCCAAACTTTCCCTCAGCTGAGGCGTGGGCAAGGCAGCATGGCGGGAGGAAGTGGTAGGGCACTGCTCCTTGTGGAAGCTTCCATCAGCTGGTGAGGGACCCGAGCTTTCCTATTTTCCTCACCGGCAAACTGACCCTCGGCCACCCGACGGCTTTGCCCGGTCTGAAGTCAGAACATGGTCGCTTCCGGCAGCGTTGGAGCCAAAGATTCAGCAGCGCGGGGTTGGGGGACTGGGGGCATTTTTCCGGAGGCATCCATTTTGCCAGGGTTGGAAAAGGCCGCTGGTTAGCCGGCCTCTTGCCCGAGGGTGAGACCTCTTACTGCCCCTGTCCTTCCCGCAGCTTTCTTCCCCTCCCGGAGCCAAGCCGTGGAGGGGGTGGGAATCGCAGGGCCTGCGTTTGGTCCCATTTGTCTAGGGCAAGGGGCGCCCCTTCATGGCTGCCGGGAAGGAAGTGGCGTCGGCCGCATCATTTGAGAGGCTCGGTGCAAAATGAAAATGCCAGGCCCCTTGTTCATAAGTTATTAAGAATTTCATACGGTGACAGCAGAGCACTAAACCCAGCGCGACTGCTCGGGTCACTGCCCCCCGAACCTGCCGCTGCGCCTCGAGGGCTGTGGTCCGGGTAAGGGGCTGGGACCCTCTCCCACCCTCACGTAGTCTCACTTCTTGCTTTTCACTGTGAGTGCCATTTGCCTTCTCCAGGGCTTCTGGACCCATCTTTGTCACCACTCTCCATCGCTCAGCATAGTCAAGCTTGAAAACCCACTTAAAAGCGTTTGCTTTCAGCACCCAGTGCACTTGGTCTACAGGTGGCAGCATCTTCGCCCAGGGCACAGGTGGGTGGAAGGAGCACCGCTGCGGGGGGCGTGGTCTGGATGTTCATCCTGCTCACTAGCTGGGCACTGGCCTCCCGAGTCTCAGTCTCCTTCTTTGTGAAATACAGGGGTTGGACGAAACACCCCCGCTCCCGCATCTGGGTCTAAAATGTTATGCTTATTTTCCAGGTAGGAAAATGGAGGCAGTTATCTGCCTTATAATTTTTCCCACAGAAATAAAGGCAGGCCTGCAGTCAGTGCTTGGGTTTTCGGATTCCGGTTTCCTCTGTCCTTGGTTAGCTCCCTATAATATTCATCCTGGGCCCCCTTCCAGCCTGTCTTTTTGTTGATACATTTCGAGAGGCCTCCTTGAGCACTTGACACCTAGATTCTGAGCCAGAAGATGACCAGGAGTGGCCAGCCACCGGCTAGAGATGAACTCATAAAAGCTCCATGTTCCCAGCTCCACGTGAGCTGTAATGACTCTCGGGAAGCCCAATAATAAGTATATCCCGCCTGTTTCCAAATGCCTAGCAGTCCAAAACAAGGTTGCCAAGAATTGGCCCTAAGATTGCACCCACTGGTTGTGTTTTAGTTTGTGTCTCTAGGGACTGCTTTGCTTTCCCTCCAGCTTTTTCCGTCTGCCCTTGGCTGTAAGGGTGGGTTTGCCAAGTGCAAGCCTTGACCAAGTCCCTGCACTTACACTCTTGTGTAGAAAAAGAAGCTGGTGCCCTCTGATGTATGCAACACGGGTTTCTGCCTTTGGTAAAACACTCTTATTCCTTCTCTCCATTCTGACCAGGAGGGAGACTTGAGTTCCACTCTCCCTGCCCCTCTCCAGGCGTCGGCACAATTTCTATTAGTAAAGTACAGTATGGTTTATAAAGCACTTTCTCATACATTCCTGGGCAGTATCCCTGTGAGGGAGCCAGGGTAAGTATTACGACCTTCATTTTCAGCAGAAGTTGAAGCCGAAGAGTCTGAGTGCCTTGCCTGTGACCGTTCAGCTAGTGAGCGGCAGGGCTGAGCCACAATAAGTCTTCTGATGCGTAAGTGACTGTGGGAGGCCAAGTCCATAAAGGTTACATGTCGTTCCCGCCATTGGTCTCTTGTCATAGTTAGTATGCGTGCCAGTGAGGAAATGGACACCTTTTAGTTTTTTTCTTTCGTAGTTTTTCAAAAAAAATCCTCAAAAGTAGGAACTGAGAGCCTACTGGAAACAACCGTTGATACCTTTCATCTTGAAACCATCAGAGTCTCAGGGGTAATGTCTCAGATGGTTTCACTTTTGCCTGACACTGCTGTCTGTTTAGTCGGATTGGCGAGGCCTGTCACTCCCAGGTATACCCACAAGCATCTGGACAACTATAAGAAAAATACATCAATTAATAAATAAAGACTGGAAGTCACTGCAAACTTTTTGAGTTTTCTGGTGTCTCAGATGATTAGTGTTGCTTCCTCAGTGTTTGGCTTCATTGATGGAGGGTAACTCAACCAGAGAAACCACAGCCCCGAACACTAAGCTTAGTTAGGAAGCTTAGTTTACCCAATTTCATTTAGAAGCTATTGTACTCTGTCCTTCAGTGAGCATCAAGTATTTACTGGGAAAAGTGAGTCATTACCTTAGTAGGGCAGAGCTCACCTTATCTTTCTCCTTTTGCAGCTCATCCTGTTCAAAATGTCTTGAAACTACCCTGTTGTGATGGACACCTGTTGCTTTTTGCCACCTACCTTTCATAGTCCCTTCAGCCCTCTGTCATCTTACCCAGCTCAAATTCTGTGGTCATTTTCATCACTCACTTGTTTGCCTCTTCCTTGCTTTCTTGTGCTTGTTGACAAAACCACAAGCTGTTACATCTGACTCTGTCCCTACTCTGCCCCCGAATATGGCCCAAGAAAAACACACATCCAAGTTGACTGGTTTCACATTCAGTTGATGACTACTTGGCTCATGTGAGCCCTTAACGCAGCCCAGAATCGTGTCCACTTCTCCTGCAGGACAGCACTATATCTTTTCTCCCTAAACCTCTTGTCATCCTCCTCGGGCCCCTGACCTCATGACCTTGCTTCCTATTTCAATGAAAAAAATGGACACAGTCAGAAGGGAACTTCCACGGT